TATCAGTAGAATAAGCATAAGAGAAGGAATTCATTAGAGGTGGGGTCCAGGCTTAGGCTGGGGCATCCACCTTTGTTCAAGCTTTTTTAACTACTCTGCTATGGCAATTTTAACTTTCTGGGGGGACATGAATCATCTTAACAATTCCTGTTATCCACGGAGATGATTGACCCCATAAAAAACAAGAATCCTCAATTCATCACACTGCTCCCCCACCAAAAAAAAAAAGTGGTTCTTACATGGAGGTGGGAAAAAGATGGTCATCTAGCAAGGGAAACTGGAATCCTGGCCGGGGGGTGGGGGGTGGGGGAGGGGACAGTTTGAGAAAGCTGCTTTCCACCTCCCTGGGTTTTGTGACAGCTTCCCGACACAGTCTCTCCCAACTCTCCCAACCCTCCCAGCCAGGCCAGATGGGGCAGGGTGGAGGAGGTAAGTTTTCCCACCTCCTCTAGAGCCTACATAGACTCTGCAACCTCAGCCTGAATGCCCCACTGGAAATGTCATGTACTGATCAAAATAAAGATTTTCCTAGATTTAAACCTTAAAAGTTTTTGTCCCTCCAGGTTGTAGAGGAGAAACCAGTGTCTTTGGTTGTCACTAAAGATAAGTTTCAGTCAGCTGTAATAACTCCGTACTTCCTTGGGTTCCCAGGGTTTGAGATCTTCAGAATATACATTTACGGAATTGTATTTTATATATATAAGTGATTAGGTACATAAAAGCTGCTCCACAGAAAGACAATATGAGGTGAAAGGATTAGAAATTGCGAATACCTCAAGTCATAATCACTTAACCTGGAAAGAGATACTAATGGAATTTAGTATTTTTTAGTTACGTTGACCATAAGCCTAAAAGACTCATTTTAGAATCTGCAAAGCTTAGGAAATAATTAAAATCCCCAGGAAATATCCACCATGGGCTCCCAAGTAGAACGGTAAAGCCACCAGGCTGGGCTTGCCTGCTTTCTGGACTGCCTGCTCCCCAGCCCTTTCTGCCTGGCTTATAGCTGTTCCCAGGGTAGCACACCCTGCCCACGCTCCTCTGGGCCACCACAGACCCTTGGGATCGACTCCGGGAAGCCTGGGAGGAAACAGCAGCAGTATGAGGTCAGAAGAGGATGGGAGCTCCTGGCCTGCACATGGCTAGCCCTGCTCTTTGTACCAAGGTACTTGAGAGACCTCTAGGTATGGCCTAGGCTAAGAACAGCATTCCTTCCCTTCGCCCCGACTGGTCGCTTCAGGCCCCATACCTAGTGACACCTCAGTGCTTTGTGGCAACCAGTTCTCTACCTCACAGTGTTCCTCTACAGCCACCTCAGGCTGTGAAGAGCTGTGCTGCCAGTCTGCTGGTCAAGGCACCATATGCAATTTATAATATTTGTCTTCATAAAGATGACTAGCCTCCCAGGTCAGATTACAATATTCTCCTTGCTCCAGAGCAGAGCTGGAAGAAAAATAAAAGTAATGTTACCAACACAGAAAGGAAGTAGAACATTCAGTTAGTAACACTATGTGTCAAGCAGACACATAAAGAAAGGAGATGGACGCTTTGTGAAGATTCAGAAAAGCAGCTTCTGATCCATCCAAGGGTATATTTTTTCATTCATCACAGTTTCCATCCATCTAAGATTATAACTAACACTGTTATATATGTGCTGACCTTGTTTTTTTTTTTTTTTTTACTCCTCCAAAATCTTAGAAAGAAATGAAAATGATCACAAAAACTTCTCTAGAGGCAAAGGGTCAAGTTAGAAGGCAGAGAGAAGGTGAAAGGATTTATTACAGAGACAAACAAGTACAGTCATGCTGGGGAGATGGCTCAGCGGCATAAGCACTTGCCTGGCAAGAACAAGGTCCTGAGTGTGATCCCTAGTACAAAAACAATCCCCCCACCCCCCAAAAAGAACAAGTACAAGTAACTGCCATCCAATTAACCAACCTACAGCTGAGGGAAGGACAGAAGCAGCATGGACCCTGTTGGGCCTGCCTGGTTGTCACCTGTGGGGAGGTGGGATACTGAGACCTCTGCATCTAACCTCAAAAAAGCTTTAACTTGGCACCAAAGAAATGGGAGTGTGGCAAAGATGAGTCCATGTTAGTTACATAAGCAAAAACTTTGCAAACGAGAGCATGTTAACCTACGGAGGCTCACAGCACCACTGCTTTCCTTGCTGATGCCTCTGGGAGGCAAGGTGCAGAGCACCATCTGACGTTTGGCCACAGCCCAGCAACACTCAAAGTACAGTTTTTAAGCAGAAAAGAGAACAGTAAGACTTATTAATTTTAAGGGCCAGTGAGACAGCTCAGTAGACTAAGCGCTTGCTTAGCCAAGTGCAGGGACTGGAATTCAATCCCCTTGACCCCGCCCTCAGGCGCACTGAGCTGGCCACCCTGGGTGTAAGGGTGCACACCTGTAATGCCAGTGCTGAAGAGGCTGAAAACAGGAGGATCACTATGAGTCTGAGCTGTGCAGTGAGACACTAGATCAAATACATTAAAAAAAGACCTGTTAATTTTATAGGACTTATTCTGTGGCTAGCATTTTTCCCACTCCCTAAACAGAGTCCTCTATAAAATGAGAGAGATGATAGAGAACAGGTGAAAAATCTTAGGTATCCCTTTAGCTAGTCCAATTCTTTTTAAAAATCTCACTTTATATTATTTCATCTTTTTGGATTCTTATCCTCAAATAGGACATCTAAATTCTTTACCATACAAACACAAATTATGAAGGTAAATTTTTATAAGTATTCATATTTGCAAAGTTATTAGGAAGGGCTATTGCAATATTTTAAAACAGTATTTTAATCTGAGAAATTCAGTTACTGGCGCTTCAGTATTAAAAATTCTTTTCCTATAAATAAAGTGAGTGTATTATAAAACATGAGAGCCATTCTTCAAGATTGGTGTACATAAAATGTCCCATTAAGTGAACATTAAAATGAAAAAATACAGTGAGAATTAAGAATTCCACACTAACTCGACTCAATGGAACAATTTAAAGATAATCATGATTATGATAAAGTTAAGGAAATACGAGGCAAGGAACTCTGAGTCACTGCACCAAAAAAAGGACAAACCCAAACCTTAAACTTGAGACTTCGGTCATTTTTCTGATTTCATTTAAGTGAAAAATATTTTAATGATGCTAAGCTATTAACAAAAAAACCACTGAAATTTTCTTTAAGAAAATACAAATGTATCACCTATCTTCAAAGATGAGTGGCCTAATTTAAGAAAAGTAAAACCTATGTCATAACGTGTACTTTTCTCTGCTTGATGATACCAGTGAGTATAGTTTTTGTCAGAAAAGCTAGTCTGCCTTGTTTTGTGTAAATTTGTTACTGGTAACTGAACCCGCAGCACGAGTACTGAGCTGTATCCCTGGCCCTTTTTAGTTTGAGGCAGTATCTAAATGGTAAGTCAACCAGTGGTGCCTGAACTTGTGGTACTCTTGCATAAGCCTTGACAGTAGCATGGGACTTGCATCACCATGCGTGGCTGGAAAAGTTATCTAAAAATCCAAAGTTCAAGATGTAGTATGTGTCAAGTGTGGTAACATACACCAGTAATCCCAGCACTTGGGAGTCTGCGGCTGGAGGATTGGAAGTTCAAGGCCAGCCTGGGCTACATAGTAAGACCCTGTCTCAAAAAACCTACCACTACCAGCACCACCACCACCAAAAAAAAAAAAAAAAAAAAAAAAAAAAAAAAAGTAACATGTATATGTACCAATATCCCACAATGAGTATATTCATTATGTATCACCAGTATATACCAATTAAAATATCTTTAAAAGCCAAAGTTCTAAATCCCCAAGGAACAGGCCTAACAACGAAGAAGCCAACAGACCACAAGGAGAGAGGTATTTCTGGTGTCAGGACAAGCACAGCAGATGAGGCTCCAGCATGTGCTGCTTAGTGATGTGGAGACATGCGGCGAGTCCACAGCTCTGTGAACATCGCGAGACCACTGTGGTGCTGGTGGCCCACAGCAGACAGAAACGCTGTTAAAGTGCATGTGACTGCACTTTCTTCAGACTCACTGCCACACTGCAGGAGCAGAAACATTTCAGTCTTGTTTACTCTTGCTTTCAGTGCTCAAGCTTAAAAACTTAATTTTTCCATAGTCTGTTTTGGTTTCCTTAATGTGTATGTTCCAAGAATGTTTTGCATTCTTACTTCTGATTACAACCTATAAAGTTTTTGGTATTTATTATTTTCCTGTTTACTTAAAAAAATTATTAATGATAGGAAATGTGGCATGTGCCTAAAATCTCAGCTACATGGGGGACTGAGGCCAACGGACTGCTTAGCCCCACAAGAGCCAGGTCACCTGGCTACACAGCGAGGCCAGGTCTCTAGCCAAATCATACAATCCCAAACCAGCCATTACTAATAAGGCTTTCAACAGAGAGAACCACTGTCCCCACAGGCCATTACTTTTTATCAGGAAGGCAAATAAAGTTTCAACTGGTATTAAAAAGGCACAAAATGCTAGAAAAATGTTCTGATTATAGAATAATATTAATTAAAACAGTAACTTGCCTCAGTCAGCAAATAAAATAAACATGCTAGGGAAAGAAGTTAATATGTGGATCACAGAAGTACTCTTCACATTTCTAAGCCTAAGTATGCACTGGTACATACTTTTTTAAAATCAAAACTGAGCACCAAGATTTGTAAAGAAAAAAATTCAAAAAGTTTATTGAGCAGGTGTAACAGGTATTATAATCACACCCCACTAACGGATCAAAAGTGTACAGACAGTTTATACCATGAAGGCTTTTATTGTTATTAAACACACTAGGCTGTCTCCTGGAAAACTATTCTGTAACACAAATAGAAACTCTCCTGGTATAAAAGTGGTCTTGCTTTGACTAAATTCCACTATTTCTCTGGATAAGCCAACACTCACACTCACTATATTTATTTTAGAATAAAGAAAGCTCAGCATACGGATTTTAGGATGATAGTTTCTCATTAAAAATGCAAAGACAAATGCTATTCATATACTAATTTATTTATCTTATGTTGAGATAATTTCGCAATGACAGTTGTCAATAACTAATCACAAATATCAGGAAATTCAAAGAACAAAATTTTGCAGAGCCCATGTTTTTGCATCTAAGAAGTATGCGATCTCATTTTCGTATACCAAGCTGAGAGGCCATTTACACTATTTGTTTGCTAATTCTGGCTTACAGCTGAAGAAAAGATGATTTCCAAAGGACTTTAAATATCTGATTTATGTCTATCACTGTTGAAAAAGAAGAAGATGAGGAGGCCAAAAGAAATAGGACAGAGAAAATGCCACATGGATTCAAGAGTTAAAATAACTGACAGTAAAATATATGTTCTTTGGTTAGCAAAGCGAAAAGGGGGAAAGCGCTGCATACATGATGGATACACACTAGCATTCTAAAGCAGGAGACAAGAATGTCAAGAGTGTATTCTTCCCCCACTGCCAGATGGAAGGGCTATTATTATAAATGAAAGGCAGCAGTAGTGGATGCCAGGCACTTTTGTTGTGTGCCAGATTCTGAAGTCCAGATGTAAGCAGGTTACCCCTGGGACAGGACAGGCTTCAGCTCCCGCAGTAGAACAGAACCAATCACGGTTTTCTCAGTGTTTATGATAAGCTGTGCTGTGGAGCCTTCCTTCAGTTCCACTGTGACTAGCATCAATGACCCACTGTGCACAGTTTTAGCTGCAAACCTGGAAGGGGGGGAAAAAAGACCTTTTATAATGAGGGTAAAAAAAGGGAGACAGCATAAATTCAAATAGGCTTCAAATACTCTTTTTTTCTTTAGTCAAATAATTTATTGCAGGTTCCCTTCTGCCAAAAACCAAAAGCCAAGCATTCTGAAAAAAATTAATAAACTGTCCAGCCCATGTTTACCACAAGCAGGTAATTTTAGTGCATTTTAAAACCAGAATAGGAAAAGGAATTCTATGTTATTTACTAGCTGGAATGACAAATACACATGGATAGTTCTCCATTATGATGTATTTGGGAAACATTCATTTAATATTTAACATTTCACCATCTACAGGGATATTTAAAGTAAGACAGTATATTTTTAGTTTTAAGGCATGCTAAGAGCTTGGAATTTTAATTCCTCATATCTAAAAATGATTATGCAATAAGTTAGATAATTTTATGCACATTATGAAATTCTTACTAAGCTCAATGAATTCACTCACGGAAAAATACTCAAATTCAATCTCCGCTGTTAATGATGACACAATACCATACCACGTGACAGCCAAGTGCAACCTCACGCTTGCCTCTGTCTTGAGCCCTCTTTCTAGGGTTTGGAACATTAGATCTTCCCTTCAGCTTTTAGAATATAATAGAGGAAACTTGAGGTCTAATGCTCTATTGCTAAATTCCGAGACATGAAGAATCTACCAATTACATGGAATTAAAAGCAAAACTAGCCTTTTAAGCACTGCAATTGACTAAAAAGCCGTTGGAGGCACAATGAACTTCTGTCAATCCCGCTAACTCATTCTGCCTGCACAGTGGAGCCCCAGACACACTGGGGACAGGGATGGGGCCTCCCAGGCCTGCGTTTTTCACATGAGCACGGTCCACAGTTTGCAGGGAGGGAGTCTGATTGCAGGGATGACTGGAGAAAAACAAAGTTGCTGCCCATGCGCTTTTGAAAACACTAACAAGTGTAGAGCAGGTCTGTGACCTGCTGTGACCCCACTTTGCAGGGCCAATCCCCTTTCCCCTTTCTGTGTGACACGTGTCTGAATCTGAGCCATCTGCCTCAATTTGCGCAACATCTCCAGCCACAATGGCACCCAGTTAGCCCTGACAACAGCTCACAATACATAAAAATAAAACGGCCGCGCTGACAGCAAGCTGTGGACGATTCAAGAGCAAACCAACTGGTCAGTGTCTCCTGCCTGACAATTAGCACAGGCCCCCGCACAGAGCCACGCCGTCCTCGGAGGTCTGTTTAATTATCATCAACATAAAAGAGGGAGTTGATCAGAGACACTCAGAAAAACTTCACTCCCAACTTAATTAAAATATTAGCCACTTAAGCAGGAAACAGATTCTCTTTAAATGAAAAGTAATTTCTTTTTTGAGTTTTTTTTTTTTTAAATGACATCTAGATCTTAAATTCATTTTTTGAAATCTAACAAGGCATTTTTTGGCCTAAATAGAACCATGAAAATCAGTTTTCCAACAATAATTAGAATAGTGCACCAAAAGCAAAACAAATAAGCTAATCTCACTAAATTGAAAATACTAACAACACTATGAAGTTATTTTAAAATGTTTGCTAATGAGTTGTTGACAAAGTGCATTAGAAACCTTCTTACTCATTTTTCAAATATGCTTAAAAATCATAAGAACTCAAAGAACAGCTTTCCTACTGAGAGAAGCAGTTTAGGACTATAAAGAGTCCTGATTCAAAGAGGGTTTTCGAAAGCTCTCACCATACACATCTCTGTCTGCTTTTGGACCTACACATGAAAGATTTGGAACTAAACTTGGTATTTCAATATCATCTTTGAGGGTGGGGAGATAGCTCAGTGCATTTTTGAGAGAACACAAAGATTTCCAGCCCCAAATGAACCTCTCTCTTTTATCACTGCTTACTGGTTTATGCACTTTTTTGGTCTAAAATTTTAAGGTTCTTAGGCTTCCTAAAACAATGCTGCTTCTCCATTTGGTTCAATTATGTCATCAAAGGATATGAGGTAGTATTATATTCCAGTTCATTTATGCAACTGTTCTCACCGCTTTGGTCAATACATCTGTAATTCATTCAACAAATATTTCAGCAGAGGTCCCTATTTCTGACAGGGTATAATTATGTAAACAAGAGTCTTATTAGTTCTTTTGTTTACTTAACACTTATGTCTTGGGACCACAGGGAAAGAGATTAAGGCTGAATAGAAACACAAAAGCACTGTTGCTTGAATTTCAGGGTTATATAGCCCCAAGGCACATTGTCTTTTTATTAAAATCTTGTGAAGTCACTGCTACAATCATACAAACTTGGTAAAGACAAATGTCAACTTCAGTGCAGAATAATAAACAGTATTTCCCATATGTTTTTGAAGTCCTATGGCCACAAAGTTCTAGTGCTATAAAGAATAGGGGCGAGAAAGGGAAAAGGCAGTTGCTTACCCTGGAGAGGGAATGTGTTAAGCAAGGCAGCACAGCAACAAACTCTACTGGCTGGTGTGGAAGCTGCCTTGGCTAGAGGGCTCTGCTCTGGTGGCCGCGCATGGCGGAAACACTGCTAGAACAGGAGACAGATCAGATGCCCTGACACTCGTTTCACAGTTCCAATAGGATGCATTTAATGGGGAAACAGCATTCTGGTTCATGGAAAGCAAAAGCTACTTCCATGAAGTTATTGATCACTGAGCTTCTGAATAGCCATGTTCTAACATAGACTTTATTGATAGTTACAGAAAGAATTAGTAATAGGTTGTTTTTTTTTGGGGGGGAACCGGGGCTTGAACTCAGATCCTTGTGTTTGCCAGTCAAGCGATTATCCTACTGAGCCATCTCCCCGGCACCAATAGGTTGTTTTTTAATGTAAGAAATACAGGTTATACACTAAATTTCATGGGGGACACAGATCCCCATGCTTGGCTTTGAAGTAAAACCCCATGACGCCACACATTTTTCTGCAGGCATGAACAGCTTTCATCATTCATAATAGCAGCCACCACTTATTAACTGCTTGCTATGTGTGTGGTGCCAAGTTCTGAGTAGCCCATTCACATTCAGTATGGCTCTGTGGGCAGGTAGATTCCAGCAAGGAACAAGGCAAGAAGGCCCAGAGAAGCTGAGACACTTGTTCAGAGACACACAGCAGTGAAGGCGGGGTAGCATCCTAAACTCAGAATACTCTGGGTCACATACGTCCTTCATACATACAAAAATACCCTCACTACTTCCTATCAGTCAACAAGTAAAGTAAAGGCTTTTATTTATGTAATATGTATATAATCTAGTATGTTCAGAAAATTTTTCCCTTTAAAGATTGTGTGCTTCTATGATGAATGCGATCTCTCTATGTGTATTTAAAATGTACCAATGAACTCTAATTTAAAAAACATATAAAACAAAGTTATGGAAAAAATAATACAGAGAACAAAATAATGATACCATCCCATAATTTAATCAAGTATTGAGGATTTTCAATTATTTGTAACTTTTAAGTTCTCTGCATAGGTAGCCTATGGTCTGCAGACCAGACACATTTGTGTTATGATAAAAACTGTTAAAAAACAAAATGAAACTATGTGCTTGGCTTTAGTGTTCTGCAATTCAAAGTATCTCAAACTGATTCTCTGTCACATTTTTAATTCCTGCTTCTAAAGATTCATGTAATTTTAAATATCCTCTTCCCCTTGGTCCCTGAAAAATCACCAAAAATGAAAGATGCACAGCCTTTTTGAATGGAGCTGTAACACAGGAGAGATGACCTAGAGACCAATCAACCCCGAAAACTAGTAACAACACAAATGAGAACAAATAAATGGGTGACAGTTAAAGATGTATTGCTTATGTGTGACGGGTTCCACACTATTAAAAGGATACCATCAGGATATTTTTCATAATTTTCATTTTACTCTACTACTAAGTGTTCAGCTGAGAAGGTAAAACTGGATACATCTGCATTTGGTCTTAGTAAATGTCGTTTTGTTTATCTCTAGCAAATGACACTTAACTGTTAATTCTTAAGATTTAAGAAAAAGATATCAGTAGTTGTAATAGCTAAGGAAAAAATGTTTCATTCTTCTTATTCTGTCCTAACTATTGTCAGAATTATGAAACTGGTCAAATAACAACACATTTGAATACATGTTCCCTATTAGTTTTTTGATTTGTAAGAAATGGGCTGCAAGACTATACGTGCTCTTTGTCAAAAGGAGAAGTCCTACAGCAAACGCCATTGTGCTAACAATTAAAATACAGCACCACATGAACTTCACATTTTTTATCTGAGAGGCTGCATATAACCCCTGAGTATTCACAAACAAAATTTCTTTTGCAGAATCAGATTTGCTATACTTAATGCAACAGCTTGAGGACATGCTTTTTCTTCTCTTGGATAGTCTTCTTGGTTTCTGATTTTCTATTCTGAGTTCAATTTTCTTGTGCTTTCTGTTCTGCTGGTTACCAGAAGCTGTGACAATGGCCCAGTCAGGCTAAAACTTTTTTTCCTACTCTGTACATGAAGCCTTCAATTACTGCCTGCTGAAGCAGACAGAATCCTATTAGTAAGAAAGACGATCACAAGATGCAGTGCCCTGCCCTCGCTGTATAAAAATAATTAGTCCAAAGTTGACAAATGTGTAATGAAGTCACACAATCACTGTATGTTGGAAATACTGGTTTGAATAGGCTACTTAAACATAAATACCAAAGCAGGATGATTTGGAGCATTATTTTCCAAAGGATTTAAAATTATAAATTCTCATTACCTTGAATTAATACAACAGAACATTTTAAACTGGCAGAGAATTTGTAATTTCTAAAAAATTCTTTTTTGTTGGCTATAAAATTGCATTTTAAACTCAAGCCCATCAATAGAAAAAAATATACAAATGATTAAAGAATTTAAACATTTTTTTCTCTATTTTAAAAAATGCCCAACAATGCTGTAGTGCTTTCCTCTAACACTGAGATGAGAACTGTTAGCACCAAAAATAAACTATCATCGTAAATC